ATGACGAATGCAATCAAATTCCATACCTCTAAGAAAAAGTTTCTAAAACTAAAATACCCAATAGCTTTCTATTATATGATTTTTTTTCCTTTAATTTAATATACTGTATTGTTAAAATTTAAGAGCTTATTTAGTTTTGAACAGTGCCCATGTCTAATTTTACCAATAAATCTTTTTTTTTTTGCGTTCCAGAGAGTCTCCACAAGTGGAGAAAGAACTTTACCAATAAATCTTAATTAAATCCTTTTTAGGCAATTCACATATTTTCTCCCAACCTATAGAAATACAATAGACATTCATATTTGGCAAGGATTCTACTCTCTATTTTATGATTAAACATTAATATCTTAACCCAAATATTCTCAAACTTACCTGTGCATGAATATCACCTGGAGGCCTTGTTAAGACTGGCCAGGTGCAGTGGTTCAAGCCTGTAATCCCAACACTTTGGGAGGCCAGGTAGTAGGATAGCTTGAGCCTTAGGAGTTCAAGACTGCAGAGAGCTATGATTGTGCCATTGCATTCCAGCTCAGATGGAGACTCTGTTTCCAAAAGAAAGAAAGAAAGTATTAAAAAGACTCCTAGGCTCCACCCAGTAGGTCAGTAGATCCAGGGAGGACTCTGAGAATTTGCATTGCTAACAAGTTCCCAGGGGCGGCTGCTGCTGCTGCTGATTTGGAGAACACATTTTGAAAACCACTTTTCTTGCCAGCCTCTTGTGTTTTTTTTGTTTTTGTTTTTGTTTTTTTTGAGACAGAGTCTTGCTCTGTTGCCCAGGCTACAGTGAGTGCCGTGGTGTCAGCCTAACTCACAGCAACCTCAAACTCCAGGGCTCAAGGGATCCTGCTGCCTCAGCCTCCCGAGTAGCTGGGACTACAGGCATGCACCACCATGCCCGGCTAATTTTTTCTACATATTTTTAGTCGGCCACTTAATTTCTATTTATAGTAGAGACGAGGTCTTGCTCAGGCTGGTTTTAGACTCCTGAACTAGCAATCTGCCCGCCTCGGCCTCCCAGAGTGCTAGGATTACAGGTGTGAGCCACCGCACCCAGCCATGTTTTTGGTTTTTTTTGAGACAGAGTTTCACTCTGTTGCCCAGGCTAGAGTGAGTGCTGTGGCATCAGCCTGGCTCACAGCAACCTCAAACTCCTGGGCTCAAGCAATCCTCCTGCCTCAGCCTCTAGAGTAGCTGGGACTACAGGCATGCGCCACCATGCCCGGCTAATTTTTTCTGTATATTTTTAGTTGTCCAGCCAATTTCTTTCTATTTTTAGTAGAGACGGGTGTCTCACTCTTGCTCAGGATGGTCTCGAACCCCCGAGGCTCAAAGGATCCTCCCGCTTCGGCCTCCCAGAGTGCTAGGATTACAGGTAGGAGCCACCTCGCCCGCCCCAACCTCTTATTGACAGGCAGCGGTGCCATTTGCAACCTTTGCCTCCCCTGTCAAGGCTATGAAGAATAACCTTGCTTTCGTGGTGAGAAGTGAAAAAAGGGAACAATACGGAGAGAGGACCTCCCACGGACACCTGTTGTTTTTACTTGCCCGGCAGCCACTTTCCTGCTTCAGATAACAGCATCTTGGTTTCCACCTGTGGGGCAGATTCTCCCTCCCCTGCTGGGGGCGAGGCACAGACCAATGAGTGTCGCCCACCCTGCTGGCCACAGTGATTGGGTCAGAGTGGTCATGTGACCCGGCTGATTTCAGTTCAATGTGTGAAAGGTCCATAAGGACCTTCTTTGGAGCTATTGGGAACAAGTGAGCGTACTCTTTCCCCCAGGGTAGCTAATTAGGGTCCAAGCTTAGAGACATCTTTCCATATTTTGGGGCTAGACTAAAAATGAAGACAATGCAGTTGTTTTGGGGTTTTTTTTTGAGCCAGAGTCTGGCTCTGTCTCCCAGGCTAGAGTGCAGTGGCATCATCATAGCTCACTGCAACCTCAAATTCCTGGGTTCAAGCCATCCTCCTGCCTCAGCCTCCTGAGCAGCTGAGACTACAAGCATGCGTCACTATGCCCGGCTAGTTTTTCTATTTTTTGTAGAGATGGGATCTCACTATGTTGCTCACGCTGGTCTCGAACTCCTAGTCTCAAGTGATCCTCCCACCTTGGCCTCTCAAAGTGCTAGATTACAGGTGTGAGCCAGTGAGCCTGGCTGACAATGCAGTTTGGACTAGAGACAACCAATGGAGACTAAAACAGACAACTCCTAAATCCACTTCTCCCGGGACTTTTCAGTTGTATGAGGCCAATATGCTCACTTTTTCTCTTAAGCCAGTTCAAATTGGGTTTCTGTCACTTGTCACTGAAAGAATTCTGAGTAGCCAAGGCCAGGGCTTGGTGCGACTGTGAGGAAGTGAAAGAAGGCAGAGACCAAGGGGAGAGCAGCGCCGGAGGCTGGCTCCAGGCCAGGTCACCGGGGGCCTCGTGGGCCACAGTGAGCATTTTGGTTTTTAACTCATGAGCTGGGAGGCCAGTGGACGGTCTGAAGCAAGAAAGTCATGTGAAAATGGCTTTTTCGGGGACATCAGGCATCAAAACGTGGTTATTAGCATATCAGAGCCAACAGATATTCTAGGTTTCAATTTGCGAGTTGCAATTCCGCAGTTCAGGGCACCGGCTGCTAGGATTTTTGTATCCAAACACCCACAGTGATCTCTCTTTGGATGTGAGCCATCAGAAAGAGGGCAGAATAATACAAAAGTATTCCATGGATAATAGCCGCAGAAAAAAATGTTCCCATTCTAGTTTAAAAAAAAAAGAAAAAAGGAAACTATGTGTGTCTGTATTGGTTGAAGCTATCATATCAAATTGATAACAGTGATTACAATGGAAGAGTGGGCTTTCTTCTTTTCACATTTTTATATTTAATTTTAATTTTACAATAAGTATGTATAGGCCGGGCACGGTGGCTCACACCTGTAATCCTAGCACTCTGGGAGGCCGAGGCGGGCGGATTGCTCAAGGTTGGGAGTTCGAAACCAGCCTGAGTGAGACCCCCGTCTCTACTAAAAACAGAAAGAAATTAATTGACCAACTAAAAATATATATACAAAAAAACTTAGCCGGGCATGGTGGCACATGCCTGTAGTCCCTGCTACTCGGGAGGCTGAGGCAGGAGGATCGCTTAAGCCCAGGAGATTGAGGTTGCTGTGAGCTAGGCTGATGCCACAGCACTCACTCTAGCCTGAGCAACAAAGTGAGACTCTGTCTCAAAAAAAAAAAGTATGTATAGATGTGCACCATCTGAGGGATGGACGTGCTTGAAGTTCCCACTCCAGGGGGGAGGGGGAGAAAGGCAACACTTGTAACCTAAACATTTGTACCCCCATTTAGAGACAGGGTCTCACTCTGTTGCCCAAGCTGGAGTGCAATGGCATGATCACAGCTCACTTTAATAGCTCACTATAACCTCAAATTCCTGGGCTCAAACAATCCTCCCACTTCAGCCCCCAAGTAGCTAGGATTACAGGCACACACCACCATTCCTGGCTATGTTTTAAAAAAATTTTTTGTAGAGATGTATCTTGCTATATTGCCCAGTCTCAAACTCCTAGCCCCAAAGTGCAGGAATTACAGGTATGAGCTACCATGTCTGTCCACTTTTAAAATTAATAAAGAACAAATATAACTGCTTGGAAAGGATTATGTCAATATCTGTTAATATTTTAAAAACACATACCCTTTACCTTTTAATCACTATTTTCATAAGGTGGATTCTATCCTATAAAGGAGTTAGCAAACTTTCTTTGTAAAGAGACAATGCAACAATTTACTCTTTTTGTTTTGTTTTGTTTTGAGACAGAGTCTCGATTTGTTGCCTGGGCTAGAGTGAGTGCCTTGGCGTCAGCCTAGCTCACAGCAACCTCAAACTCCTGGGCTCAAGCGATCCTCCTGCCTCAGCCTCCCGAGTAGCTGGGACTACAGGCATGCGCCACCATGCCCAGCTGATTTTTTGTATATATTTTTAGTTGGCCAATTAATTTCTTTCTATTTATAGTAAAGGCGGGGTCTCACTCTTGCTCAGGCTGGTTTCGAACTCCTGAACTCGAGCAATCCGCACACCTCAGCCTCCCAGAGAGCTAGGACTACAGGCGTGAGCCACCGCACCCGGCCAACAATTTACTCTTTGTAAAGAGTAAATATTTAGGCTTTGTGAACCATACAGTCTCTGTATTAATCACCCCATTCTGCTGGGATAGTGCAAAAGCAGCTATAGACATTATATAAACAAATGAGTTTGCATTCTAATAAAACTTTATTTACAAGCTTTGTGCAGTGGCAGTATCGTAGCCAATGAGGTTTATCCGAGGCGCGATTATTGCTAATTGAAAACTTTTTCCAATACCCCGCCATGATGACTTGAAATATAGTTGGCATTGACAATTTTTGACAGTCTCTATGGAGACTGAATTAAAAAAAAAACAAAAAACTTTATTTATAAAAACAGGTGCCAAGCTGGGTTTTCTCTGTGGGCCTTGGTTTTCTGACCCTGGCTATAGAAAAAGAACATGTACATAAGACATTGTCATACTTGTATACAAAATAAATAAATAAATAAAAGAGAACATGTAAGGATATAAGTATCAGAATGTTTATTGCAGAACTGTTTGATGCATACACAAAGAAGGCATAAGATCTGATATAACATAAATATCTATCATTAGTTCTTTAGTAAAATGATTGATAAATTGTGGTATGTTTATCCTATGGACTTTATCCTATAGACTTTTATGCAAATGTCAAAAAAAAAACAACTGTCAAGTGCAGTGGCTCATGCGTATAATCCCAGCACTTTTGGAGGCTGAGGTGGGAGGATCCAGGGATTCAAGATCAGCCTGGGCAACATAGCAAGACCCTGTCTATATCAAAAGTACAAAAACTTAGCTGGGCCTGGTGGTTCGAACCTGTAGTTCCAGCTACTTGGTAGGCTAAGACAGGAGGATGGTTTACGCCCAGGAATTCAAGGTTACAGTGAGCTATGATCAGGCCACTGCACTCCACTCTGGGTGGCAGAGTAAAACCCTGTCTCTAAAAAAAAATAATAAAATAAAATAAAAAGAACCAGTTAAATCTGTACCTGCTGAGCCAGATGAGCAGCTGTAAGGCATTAAGTGAACAGAGATTTACAGAATAACACAAATAATATGTAGTTTTTCACTAATCTGTGAGCACCAAGTAACTTTCCAGGGCCTTCCACCGTGGGTGGGATTCACTTCCCAATCCCACTGATGTTGGGCTTGGTCATGTGCCTTGCTTTGGCCAGTGCAGTGTTAGCAAATGTCAGGTGAGCAGGACCTTCCATGTGCTAACTTGGCCTCTGGAGCTCCCATAGGCACCTTGAGAAGAACATGCCCCAGGTAGCCACCGGTCCAAGGGGGATGAGGAACATGTGGGGCACCACCCAGCCTGAAGCAGAACCGCCCTGCTGAGCCCAGCATAGACCTTCAGACCTGGGAGCATAAGAATAAAGGCTTATTGTGATATCATAAGATTTTGAGGTCATTCCTTATTCAGCATTAACACAGCAAATGTGAACTAATACAACTGATGGACACCTGTTGTTGTTTTTGCCACTCTAGCATCTCACCCTTATCCTGACAACAGCACCCTGATTTTCCTTTGAGGAACCACCCGCCCCCACCTCTCGGGCCATGTGGAATGCATGGGGTGCTCAAGGGTAGGTGCATGAGCCAGCAGTGTGCTTGAGCTGATGGGGACATTACAGGAGTTTTGTAAGCAAGTTGACATCACCTTGGTAACTAGAAACCTGCTATGATTTCAAGCTGATGGGTATTTACACCACAGAAATCAGCAAACTCTACAAATCAAATCTTTTTTATTTTCTCTAAGAAACAGTCATCAGTCATTTATCAGCACACCACTGCAGGTGACCTAGATCTGGTTAATCAGAGGGCCACAGCTTCCTGGCATAGAGCAGGGCTGGGCATGTAACCCAAGTCAGGCCATGAGAGTCAGCTCAGGTATTAGAAAAGGTGTTCTTTTCAACTGGAGTTCCTGGACCGGTACGATTAAGTTTGAAGCTGCGAGGACCCCTATGCAGAAGAAAGCCAACAGTGTAAGGAACTAAAAGGATGGTGAGAACCCAAGTCCTGTTGACATTATTTGAGCTCCTTGATCCAGCACTGCCTGAAAGTAGAATTTCCCCTGTACTTTCAGTTATATAAAATCAATATAGGCCGGGCGCGGTGGCTCACGCCTGTAATCCTAGCACTCTGGGAGGCCGAGGCAGGAGGATTGCTCCAGGTCAGGAGTTCGAAACCAGCCTGAGCAAGAGTGAGACCCCGTCTCTACTATAAATAGAAAGAAATTAATTGGCCAGCTAATACATATATAGAAAAAATTAGCCGGGCATGGTGGCACATGCCTGTAGTCCCAGCTACTTGGGAGGCTGAGGCAGGAGGATCGCTTGAGCCCAGGAGTTGAAGGTTGCTGTGAGCTAGGCTGATGCCACGGCACTCACTCTAGCCTGGGCAACAAAGTGAGACTCTGTCACAAAAACAAAAACAAAATATATGTACTATATTCTCAAACTCCGGGCCTGAAGAGATCCTCCTGCCTTGGCCTCTCAAAGTGCTAGGACTACAGGTGTGAGTCACCATGCCTGGCCCTTTTAAAATTTATATATATATATGTTCTTTTTTTTTTCTTTTTTGAGACAAGGTCTGGCTGTGCTGCCCAGGCTGCAGTGCAGTGGCGTCACCATAGCTCACTGCATGTCCTGCACTCTCTGTAGCATCTGCTGCTGCTGCCCCATAGCAACCCCCCTTAGCTGCGGCTCAGGTCAGCTACAGCCATGATGAGCAGTGCTGGCAGCTCCCACACCTGTCGTTTAACCTAAGGGTTCTCCCCAGCACACCTGCAGAGCAGTCCAAAAAGAGTGCCAGGGACTTAATGCCACCAGGGGTTCTCCTCAACCAGTGGGATACAGGAGTTAGGGAATAAGAACCCCAGTTTCTCAGTCCCCTGGAAGGACGATTCTGAACTGAGTATTTTTTTTTTGGGGGGGGGGTTCCCTACCTGCATCAAAAAAGGAAAGCAGAAAATATATCTATCATGTGTTCTGCAGGTCAGGGGTTTTTTTTAGACTGGATGAGGCTCTCTAACCCAGATGCACACTAGGTTTTGAGGCTCAGAGCTTAGTGAAACTAAGCTGCTGTGTCCCACAAAATCTTGCTGCATCATGCGAGAAATTTCCAACCTGGGGAGGATACTCTGTTCATGGGTTGATTTGCCCAGGAATAAATTCAGGCTGAAAATAGCAAACTAAAGTTAGCTGAGATGTTCCGCCCCATGGCCTCCTTCAGGAACATCCTGTCCAGAGGAAAGGATATTTAAGGAGAAAGGAAGCAGCACAAGTTCAACTCAGCCAAGTAACAGAGGAAGAACATCCCAAACAAAAAGTGTGATTCTGGTCTGTGTTCCAGAGGATGGGCAGGACAAACAACCGTGAAATTCCTACTATGTGCATGTATATTGCATATCTATCATGCTCTTCTTTAATTTTCTCCTTTATGTTTTTAATTTTCCTTTGACTTATTTTTGTCTCTTCACTTCCACTTTGCAGTAGGTTTTATTAGCCCCCTTTGCTGAAACTAAGCCTCCAAGGGTTCAGTTACTTGACCAAGACTAAGCAGTGGCAGACCTGGGATTTGAACCAGTACCCCCTTTCCTCCGGGTTGACGAGCACACAGTGGGTGATAGTAAGTATTGCTGTATCAATAAAAGGCTGGGTGCAGTGGCTCACACCTGTAATCTGGCACTTCAGGAGGCTGAGGCAGGAGGATCACTTGAGGCCAGGAGTTTGAGACCAGTCTGAGCAAGAGTGAGACCCCATCTCTACAAAAAATAGAAAAATTAGCCAGGCATCGTGGTGTGTGCCTGTAGTCTGTTCCAGGTGCTCAGGCAGGATTCTCCCTTGAGCCCAGGAGTTTGAGGTTGCAGTGAGCTACATTCGTTTTGGGGAGGGCTCTCATTGGCTCAGCTTGACCCAACCTAAGCCAATCACATAGCCAGGAAGATGTGATGCTCTTAGTGGTCAGGCCTAGGTCACAAGCCCACTCCCAAGCCCTGGGATAAAGAGTCTCCCCAAAACATGTGGACTAAAAGTGGAGAAGGGCCAGCTCGCCAACAGAAAATTGGAGTGCTATTTCCTCCAAGAGGATGAAATAATAGATGTTGGACAGGCAAAAAGAACAAACTAGGCTGGGCGTGGTGGCTCACGCCTGTAATCCTAGCACTCTGGGAGGCCGAGGCAGGAGGATTGTTTGAGCTCAGGATTTCGAGACAAGCCTGAGCAAGAGCGAGACCCCGTCTCTACTAAAAAAAATAGAAAGAAATTAGCTAGACAACTAAAAAATATACATATATAGAAAAAATTAGCCGGGCATGGTGGGCCTGTAGTCCCAGCTACTTGAGAGGCTGAGGCAGGAGGATCGCTTGAGCCCAGGAGTTGGAAGTTGCTGTGAGCTAGGCTGACGCCAGGGCACTCTAGCCCAGGCAACAGAGTGAGACTCTGTCTCATAAATAAATTAATTAAAAATTAAAATAAAGAGAACAAACTCGGTCCTTTGTCAGGGGCTTCTGAATTGTTGTTAGTCACAAAAATGGCTTTGAGACTCACAAGATCAGCACAGAGCTATTCCTTCAATTACTTTCCAATCTTTTCAATTGCTGGGGCGATATCCAGGCGTGGTGGGGTGCATCTGTAGTCCCAGCTAATCAGATTACTCAGGTGGGCGGACCTCCTCTGAGCCCAGGAGCTTGCAGCTGTAGAGTGCTGTGATCACACCTGTGAGTAGCCACCGCATTCCAGCCCGGGCAAAAAAGCAAGACCCTGTCTCTCAAAAGTTTTAATAAAAGAAAAAAGAATTAATAAACTCATTAAAAATAAGTCCTGGAGAGAGGCTGAAAACCATTTTGTAGGTGAGAAAATTGAGGCCCAACATCAATGCTTAAATGTCACCTCCTCAGGGAAGCCCCCCGTCTCTACCACCTCATCTGAACTAGCTTCCGCCCCTAGTCCATGACTGTCTGCCCCTACATCGGTGCTATTTTTCCTCATAGCACCCACTGCTTTTAAAAGATAACATCCAAAAAGGTAAAACCATGACTTTCATTCGATTATAAAGCAAATACCTGTCAAAGATTTTATTTAACTTATGAATTAATAAGGGGACCAATAAGACATTAATTCTGATTTAAGGAGAATCCAAAGTCAAACTTACATTTGGGTAGTCAGGAAGGCTGAAATAAAATTGCTAATACATGCAAAACAGGTCAGTGTCCACAGGACGTATAACGCACTGTTTGGAACCATGTCTTCCATGGGCAGACATCAACTGGATTTCCACTGGACAAAGTTCATTTGCATCTCTATGCGCAAGAATCGTTTGCATTATTATCAGTTTTATACAAATTACTGAGTTGCAAAATAGCTCAAAGACAAAGAAAGGCACAGAACCCTGTAGAATCAGACAACCTAAAAGGGTCCTCTTAACAACGGCCAGAATTCCAAAGGACATCCAATTTGGGGGAGATTTTTTGTTTGTTTGTTTTTGCCTATTTCAAAGTCTCTTACAATGTTTCCTGACACCACTAATTTTTTTTATACATTTATTGGTTTATGTATTGTCTGTTTCTCCAAACAGAATGTGAGTTCCATGAAGGTAAAGACTTTGTCCCACTGGTTCACCACTGCATCCTTGGTGCCTAGGATGGCATCTGCTGAGTGCCCCATGTATATCAGTCCAAAGAACATATGAATTGGACACCAACTCTCTTTACAGTTCACACAAAGTTCCTTCCAATTACTTACTCTGTGTCCATTTTTCTTAAGTGGAAGGAATTTCCTTTTGCATAGTTCACTCACTCCCTTTTCTCTTCCACCTTCAAGACAGAAGCTGGAAATTCAAGGAAACAGAAGGAATGTTCAGTTAGTCAGAACTCTTTTAGTTGAAAATAACCGAAACCCAGTCCAGACTGCCTTAAGCACAAAAGAGGTTCTTCAACATATCCTGGGGTAGTCCAGGAAAAGGTTGCCCATCAAGTACAGCTGGATCCAAGAGCTTAAATAATGTCATGAAGAATCTGTCTTAGGCTGGGCGAGGTGGCTCGCCCAGAGCCTGTGATCCTAGCACTCTGGGAGGCCAAGGCGGGAGGATCACTTGAGGTCAGGAGTTCTAGACCAGTCTTGAGCAAGAGCGAGACCCCTGTCTCTACTAAAAGTAGAAAAATTAGCCGAGTATGGTGGTGAGTACCTGTAATCTCAGCTACTGGGGAAGCGAAGGCAGGAGGATCACTTAAGCCCAGGAGTTTGAGGTTGTAGTGAGCTATGATGACAGCATGGCACTCTAGCCCGGGCAACAGAGAGAGAATCTGTCTTTCACTTGACTATCCTTAATTAATAAAGAAGAAGAATTTCTCTTTTGCATCCCATGGCCAATTTCCTGGTTTGACTTCATTCTCAGGAAAACTCTCCTCCTGGGGCCCCGTGGAGCTCCAGTTTCATATTCAGCTTTTTACCCCAGCAAAGCAAGACTCTCAGTGCTAATGGTTCTGGCTCGACTTTGGTCGTGGGCTCATCTCCGGGACCAGTTACTACAGTCAGGGTGATAGAATGTTCTGATTGGCCAGACCTGGTCACATGCCCACCCCTAGAGCCAGAGAGGGTAGGGTCAGCCCCTCCTAACTGCATGGACTAAGGGTGAAGGGGAGTTTCCCCAGAGGAAAATTACAGCACTGCTGATTTGACATAATTGTACTTTTGTAGATGCTATTTCTCAACATTTAGAATCAAAAACCACCACAACAGGCCGGGCACGGTGGCTCACACCTGTAATCCTAACACTCTGGGAGGCCAAGGCAGGAGGATCGCTCGAGGTCAGGAGTTCGAGACCAGCCTGAGCAAGAGCGAGACCCTGTCTCTACTAAAAAAAATATATATATATACATATATATATATATATATATATATATATATATATATATATAATACCCAGGCATGGTGGTGCATACCTGTAGTCCCAGCTACCCAGGAGGCTGAGGTAGGAGGATCACTTGAGCCCAGGAGTTTGAGGTTGCTGTGAGCTAGGCTGACACTACGGCACTCTAGCCCAGGCAACAGAGTGAGACTCTGTCTCAAAAAAACCCAAAAAGATATATTACATATGAGTCTATCCTACAAAGAGAATTGAGTCTATTCTACAAAGAGAAATTGAGTCTTTCCTACACAGCGATTATGTATTCATTTGGGTGGGGGCAAGGGTCGGGGGGCACAGGAAAATGGAAATAAAATACCTGACAGGGGATTTCCAGTCCATTCTAACGTGGATGTGGTTAAATGTTAACTGCCGAGATCATCCCAGTGGTTAAGAGCAGAGACACAGGTCCCAGAGTTAGACACACTCCTGGTCCAAATCACAGAATCACAATTTAAAGTAACAACTTTTCTGAGCCTCAGTCTCCTGTGTAAATTGGGGTTAATACTCCTGGTTACCAACATGAGGCTTAAATGGGGTGATATATAAAAAGCCCTTAGCACAGAACCTGGCACACGAATGCTCAAACTGTTTCAACTTTCTAAATTTTCAACTTAATTTTTTAAGAGAAAATACATTCACAAAGTTCAAAAAGCAAAATAATATTTAAAAAATACAGTGAGAAAACCAATTTCCACTAATCCTATCCACTGTGTTCCTCCCTCTCTGATAAATACTTTCGTTAGTTTCCTGTGGATATTTCCTATATTTCTTGAAGCAAATATAAGTATTTAGCTACCTTATCTAAAAGGTGGCAACCAGTATGAACTTTCTCTGCACCTTGCTTTTTTTCATTTAACAATATATCCTGGAGATTATTCTATATCAGCAAAAACAGACTTCCCGATTGTTTCCTTGCCATTACATAATATTCCATGTGTGGCTATGCCATTCCCTACAGATGGAAGCTTAGGTTATTTCCACTCTTGCAATTACCAATAATGCTGAAATGAAAAATATTGCACACACGTTCTTCCATACTTGTGTAGGTGTATCTGTAATATAAATATCAGAAAGTGGAATTGCTGGGTCAAAGGGAAAATGCCAGCATAGTTTTGATGTATATTGGTGTTATCACCAAAGGAGTTGTATCATTTTGCACTAGCAATGTATGACAGTTTCTGTTTTCCTACAGCCTCACCAACACAGGATGTCTGAAAGATGGTTATTATTTTGCTTATTGTTGTTGTTATTGTTGTTGCAATGTTGTTTGTGCCAATTTTTTTAATACATTTTGTCTATGGATACACCCATAGTCATCTCAAACTTTATTTAAAGAAGACACCTCAGGATAAAAACAGGCTGTAATGAAAAAGAAGCAATCAGAGAATAAGAAATAGTTCTTGGGAATTAAAAATATGATTGCTGAAAAATTTTTTTATATCAGCAAATGTGCTGAATATAGAGTAAACATGACCAAAGACCAAATTAGTATTTGGGCACATCAGGTCAAGGAAGTCCTTCAGAATATGGAGCTAAAATTTTTGAGCAAAATGTGCTTTAGACCTATATTTCTGTATCAAACAAGTATCACGCTTCTACCAAAAATGAATACAAGATGCATGCCATAAAAATGAAAAAGGGGGCCGGGCGCTGTGGCTCACGCCTGTAATCCTAGCTCTTGGGAGGCCGAGGCGGGCGGATTGCTCAAGGTCAGGAGTTCAAAACCAGCCTGAGCAAGAGTGAGACCCCGTCTCTACTATAAATAGAAAGAAATTAATTGGCCAACTGATATATATATATTAAAAAAATTAGCCGGGCATGGTGGCGCATGCCTGTAGTCCCAGCTACCCGGGAGGCTGAGGCAGGAGGATCGCTTGAGCCCAGGAGTTTGAGGTTGCTGTGAGCTAGGCTGACGCCACGGCACTCACTCTAGCCTGGGCAACAAAGTGAGACTCTGTCTCAAAAAAAAAAAAAAAAAAAAAAAAAAATGAAAAAGGAAACCAAAACAAGCAGAAGACATAGCATGCAAGGGATGGTGGCACTAACCTAAGAATGCAGGACGTACGGGCAGCAGACCCAGACAGACAGAAGAACAAGAAATGAGAACATGAAATCAACAGGCTGTGTAAATGATGCCATAAAGAAGAAAGTAGATATTTTTTCACACAAATCATATTAAAGAGCAAGATGTTTAAAAACAAAAGGTAAAGGAATGTGTCTCTTCTGCCAACAAGTTTACTGTCTTGTTGGTGAAGGCAGAAACTACTATTTTACATAGAGGGAATTAAAGGTGTGGGGGATGGGTCCTGCAGCCAGGGTTTAGCAAGAGCTGTAAGCAGTGGTGTGTTGGTAAGTAGTCAACAACCGGCTCTTGTGCAGAAGCCCTGATTTGTCATGTTTGCCAAGTATGTACTCCCACAATGGCCAATTTCAAGCTATACTTTGTGACATGCTAAATCGATTAACAGGCCTGGCGCGGTGGCTCACGCCTGTAAACTCCGATTTTTTTTTTTTTTTTGAGACACAGTCTCGCGCTTTGTTGCCCAGGCTACAGAGTGAGTGCCCGTGGTGTCAGGCCTACGCCTTCACAGCCGACAGCCTCACAACTCCTGGGCTCCAACAGCGATCCTCCCCTGCCTCAGCCTCCCCGCGTAGCTGGGACTCACAGGCATGTGCCACTATGCCTGGCTAATTTTTTCTATATAAGTATTAGTTGGCCATCAATTCTTTCTATTTATAGTAAAGACGGGTCTCACTCTTGCTCAGGCTGGTTTCAAACTCCTGACCTCAAGAGCAATCCGCACCTGCCCTCGGCCTCCCAGAGTGCTAGGAT